TGATGAAAGTAAAGAGTCTACTCTTTCTTTTGGTGTGTTCGGTGTTTACATAGTCATAGCACAAACTATTCTGTGGCTCTTGAAAGATCAGTCAAAATGCTCAAAAAACTCTGGCAGTATGGGACTCTTTTCTGAAAATGGCTGGCAGTCAATGAGTTAATGTGCACTGTCCCGATTAAAGAAATAAAATAAAAATTACCTCACCCTGCGCTCTGCTCTGTTTCCAGGCTCGGTTCATGCCACCTCCATCGCGGCCAGCCGCGTGGAGCAGGCCCTGTCGGAAATCGCCTCCTCCCTGCAGAGCAGCGCCCCCAAACAGGGCCCGCTGCACCCCTGGATGACGCTCGCACAGATCTGGCTGCACGCAGGTGTGTGGACACCTGATCTAACCCTTTAAAGTGGGAAAAATAGGAAGAATATTGGGTTTTAGGTCTATGGAAAAAGTAGCCTCGTCTTCCATAGACCTTTCAGTCAAAAGAATAACGAAATAAATGTACAAAATTAACAATTAAAAAATAGGCAATAGGCCGAGTTCAATAATAAGCAGATGAGCACATGTGATCGAGTAGTAAAATCTGAAGGCCCCTCAACAACATATGAAGAAATAAAAACAGAAATTATTTTTGATCAAATTAGCGTGCAATAAGTCAAAAATGTATTTTGGTGTGGTCTTCTACTGCACCCCTGGATGACGCTCGCACAGATCTGGCTGCACGCAGGTGTGTGGACACCTGATCTAACCCTTTAAAGTGGGGAAAATAGGAAGAATATTGGGTTTTTTTAGTCTGAAGTCTTTTATTTGGACCAGCAAAATGCAATGGATCCCCCCCTCCTCACATTTTGTGGACTTATGTTTATGTTATACTAATAGCTATAAGTGGTAAATTAATAAGAAATGTAAATGAAGATAAATGAGAGAAATACAATTAACAATAAAATATATCAAATATATATAATATATGATTATATAATATATTAAAAATAAATAAAATAAATACATAGATTTTTTTTTTAAGAAAAGGAAGAATATTTTATTTAAAAAAGAAAAGGAAAAAATCTAAATAATAAAAACTTGACTGCATTAGTTTGTTCATGGCCGATTTACATCTGTTTTGTCTTTTTTGAAGCCTACGGCTTGAATTTATTTGCTCCATACGATCCATTTCCCAAACATTTCTGTACAGATGTTGTAAGTTTGAGGCTTCAGACATTTAACTCTGACACAAACTGGAGCTTTCTGATGTGAGAACTCTCCTGTTTTCAGCTCTCGGTTCCTCTTTGTTCTGTTTTAGTTTCTGAGACTGATGAGGTTCTGAGTTCCTGTCTGAGCTCCGTGTTTGCAGACGGAGGCGTAAACACTCGTTTGTCCGGTTTATCTGCATTAAGGTGGTCGTTTCCAGCTAACACAGATAATGTAATCAGCCAATTAGAGCGCAGGCAGATGGGCGGACGCCTCATTTCCTGCTTCTGTCAGCCATCAGAAAGAAAACGGCTCCATCAGAGTCTGGAAAAGGGCTGGAGTTCAGATCTCAGAGAGAATCAGCTGCATTTGTTGTTTTTCCTGCAGTTTTGGCTGATTTTTACAGTTAGATTTCTGTTTTTCCTCATTAATACTTCTCTCTGTCAGCAGAACCTCCATTATGACGCCTAAAAAGATTAATTTTCCAAACTCCAGAGTGAAATTTGATCAAATATTCGATTCAACAACCAAAGTAAATCTCCAACACAGTCATAGAAAAAATATATCAAATATAAGACTTAAATAAGAATAAATAAGCTAAGTTAGTTTATGACATAAAAGTCATAAAAAAAGATATATAAAATATAAAAAAATAAAAAAAATAAAAATAAGCTAAGTTAGTTTATAATGTCAAAGTCATT